GATAGTCAGATTGTAGGATTGGATTTGTAAGGCCCATCTTGCGAGCCTACCAGTTGGTGACTTTAAAGACATCAGCCATTTCAATGGTTGGTGGTCAGAGGTGATTGTGATAGACTGGCTTTCAACATATCCTCTAAATTTGTTGAGTGCCCATACTACTGCTAAGGCTTCTTTTTCTATGGTGGAATAGTTTCGTTCTGATGCAGTCAGCAAGCGGCTGGCATATTCTATAGGGTGTTCTTCATTTTTCTCCCCTTGTAGCAACACTGCTCCAATGGCTACATTGCTAGCATCTGTGCGAATGATAAAAGGCTTCGTTCCATCAGCTTGCTTAAGAATCGGCGGGCTAATTAATTTGGATTTCAGCTCTTGGAAAGCATTTTCTTGTTGTGCTTCCCACTTCCACAGCCCTTTCTTCTTTGTTAAATCCGTTAACAGTTTGGCTATTTGAGAAAAATTTGGAATATATCGACGATACCAGGAACACGTTTGTATGAACGATTGCACTTGCTTAACAGTTTTTGGCAATGGCATGTCTGCAATGGCAGCAGTCTTGTGTGGATCAACAGCTATACCATGCTTAGTAATGTAATACCTTAAATATTTCACTTTTTCACAACAGAAGTGGCACTTCTCACGATTAGCATTGAGCTTGAATAACGATAGACGTTGGAAAACTTGTTCTAAGTCAGAAAGGTGCTTTTCGAAGCTAGATGACAGCACTATGATATCATCTAAATATGTCAAAGCAAACACATTATTAAGTCTAGAACGGAACCTATCTATCAATCTAGAAAAAGTGGCAGGAGCGTTTCTCAATCCGAAGGGCATTCGGGTAAATTTATATGTACCAAAAGGGCAAACAAAAGCAGTCTTATTTTGATCTTCTTCAGCTACTCTCACCTGATGATAACCGGATCTCAAATCAATAGTTGACATATAAGGTGTCGGTTTTGCTTCACTCAACAAATCATCTATACGTGGCAAAGGATAAGTGTCTGGAACGGTTTGAGCATTTAGGTTACGATAATCAATGCATAACCGTACTTTTTCATTTGCCTTGGGAATCAGAACCACAGGAGAGGCATAGGGGCTTTCACATTCTTTTATGATACCTTGTTTTAGAACGGAATCAAGTTCCTTTTTCAACAGTTCTTTCTTACTTGGGCTCATCCGATATGGAGGGACTGAAACAGGGGGCTGTTTTTGTGTTAATATGGTGTTCAATGAATGGAGTGGCTTCTCCCCCTACTTTGAAGACAGTGTGATATTTGTTAAGCAATGCATCAGTTGCAAGCCGTTGGGCTGTAGTTAATTGTTGTCTTTCATTTTCTTGTAGTTGGCAGTTGTTTACAACAACTGGGGTTTCTTCCAGTACTTAGGATTGATGAGGTTTCACGAAGCTATATTTTCTTCGAGGTTCATCAGAAAAGTTCCACTTATTTTCAGCAAGATTTAAAACAATTTTAGCTTTTTGAAGAAAGTCAATTCCTAACAGAGTCGAGTTATTTTTGGCATCAGGCAACACAAGGAGCGGAGTTTTGAACTCTCTGCCTTCGAGAAGAATGAATTTGTTCGGTGCGAAGTACCTCTTTTTCAGATACCAAACCATCAGCGAAAGACACCTCTAGTGTTGTCTTTTCAAATACTGCATCTTGTTTCTGCAGAATATGATAGAGGGATTCACTTGCGATTGAGTGACTAGCACCACTGTCGGCGAAAGCTGTACCGGAAACACCACCAATACTAATTGGAAATACAGCAGTCCGAGTGGAAGATAAACAGGATCGGATTTGGATAGTGCCAAAATTTGATGAATTTGAAGTCTTTGGGGGGTTACAGTCTGGACATTTAGACTTGATAAAACCAGTTTTTCCGCACCCATAGCATGTTAAAGGAGGTCGCTTTTCCTCTGTTTGTTGCTGACCACGATTTAAAAAGGTTTTATGAGTTCCCTGTATGTCACTTGTTCGATTTTCTACTTTGTGTTTGGATGGATTAGTCGGTTTGTAAGAATAGTTTCCCCTGCCAGGAAGTTCAGTTTTATAGTTCGTATTTTTAACACGTACAGCTTCATAATCATCCAATTTCTGTACTAATTCAGATGAACTCTTTATTTTCCCCCAAGTATCAATAAAATGCTCCTTAACGTCACTACTGACTCTTCTTTTAAGCTGATCCGTCAGGACCAAGTCTTTGAGTGATTCAAAGTCTGTAACATCGAGACTATGAAGCCACTCTTCGAGATAATTGTTTAATTCGTAAGAAAAATCTTTCCATAAGGACCCAGGGTGTTTTTGGTGTGTAGTAAGTTTAATTCGAAATGATTCAGCATTTAATTTGAATATTTGTAGCAGAATCTTCTTGATGTAAGAATAATCTTCTAATTTGTCTTTTGGTTCTCTTAAAATAATTTGCGAAATGTCTATAGGCAGAAGAGGTAGGAGATGAGTGATGTAATCTATTTGTTTTATATTAACTTTCTCACATTGTCTTTCAAAAATTTGCAGGTAGGTTGCAATGTCAGAAGTTCCTGTAAATTTAGGGATTAGGTGTTGAATATTTGTTCCAATAGCTGCATTTGAAGCAAAGGCGGCATAGTTAGGGTTTGAGCTAGCAGCTGCCAGGTTTAATTTTAAACGTTCCAATTCTAATAAAAGTTCTTGTTCTTTTCTTTGACGTGTCTCCAGATCGTTGCTTTCACGTTGTTTTTGTTGTTGTCTAGTTTCGATTAAAGTTTCCAGAAGATTCCTGGTAAAAAGCCTCATCATAAGTGTCAGAATTGACAATAAGATCTTTAAGATCTATTACTCGCATAGTGTCGTTTACAGTGAAACCCAGTTCTGCAGCGAGAGTTTTTAAATCCTCTTTTCGTGCTTTGGCAAGGTAAGCCATAATTATATGAGAGGTCAGGGGGGAGGGAAAAGATGAAGTTGAATTTGTTGTTATTTCGATTTTATTCACAATACAGTATTTTAGAATTAATAATTATACCTTTAAGTAAAATGTATATACCCCTATTAAACAGCATGTATAAATGTAAACAATGTTACTCGTACATTTATATACCACTATTAAACAGTATTTATAAATGTAAACAATAATACTCACAAAGTTTATTATTTCGGAGTCGTAAAAATATCATAAAATGCCCTCATAAATTCAACTTGTATCAAGAAAATAACATATAATAAATTGCTCAAAAATTGTTTACTACTTAGCAAAACATACAAAAACATACATAAATGTCTTACCATAAGCTTTTATATTTAAGCTGAATTCTTCGAAATCTTAATCTTAACAAAATATTAAGCTGATTAAGCAACACACACTTAGTAACTCTTTTACTTTATTTAAATAGTCATTCGATTTTATTCATAATTATTTTCTTTCGCTTCAAGAAATATTTTCAAGACATGCATTCATTAAAGGAAAACAATCGTATTTTCTTAAAGTATTATACTATAATCATTTTCTCAAAATGTTCGTCGAAAGATAAATCAACAAGTACAATATTTTATTTTATGTAGAATAAAAAACATTTAATAAGGAACAACAGCACTCAAAGGAAATAAAAATAATAAAAGATTTGACGTAAACACATCATAAATCATCGCTAGTCTAAACATTTCCGCGGGGGGGGGGGAAACATCTGCTGCTGTATGTCAGAATCGAAACTAATAAATTCTAATGAACAACGTCCATGAATATATTCAAACTTTAACATCAAAACATGTATTCAGTGAAACAATATTATTCACAAATTAATTTACTATGCGCATTAACATTTTAAAATAACAAATTACAATTCAAGAAATAACGTTTGGTTAACAGAAAGCCGTTTGCTTTCGTTTAATACTCTTATGTAGTATCAATAAATGAGATTTCAGTAAAGAATTTACATTTGCTTTAAGAAGCAGCTTATAATAAATAATCAGTTTAAAAGAACTTTAAACTCAGATTAAACGATAATGTAAACGAAACTTATCTTTTCCGTTGAAATTGTCCAGTTGATGATTCGATGTGCTAGCAGCACGGTATGACAATTTTAATTCCAGAATTGGTTTCCAGAATATTTGACCAGTAGTCCACACCTGAAAAGAAACTGAGCCGATCTCCAGCAACTAAAAGTTAAATTCGGGAGTAAGAGCTTGTTAAAGCCAAACAGAAATTCTAAACATTTTGTTGCGCCATTTTGGATTCAAATTTAGTTGGGCGCCAATGTGATGTAGCCGTTCCTCAATAGACACTAATGCCGGCTAGCTTTAAAAGGATTTATTAACAGAGCACACAGGAACGGTTACAAACAAAGAAATATACATAAAAATGAAACATATACGAAATGGAACATCAAACATTTGAATAACATAACATAGTAAACTATCATCATGGCGGCTGGAATTCGACTGACGTGTTTTCATATCGCCACGAGATGGCGTTTAAATAAAATAGTTCGGTTACAGTTCATGAGTTCATGGCGTGAATAAAATAGTTCAATTACACTTAAATAGGTCTGTTACAAGTTTGCTTTACTCCTGTCAGTCTTATTTATATCTAAGAAGGTATGGGAGTCCAAATTCAATGTACTTTTTCATGCAAGTGTTTTAATTTTTATTCATTTTCATGCTATTTTAGTTAATGTGATATTCTGGCTGCTGTTGTACAAATTGTGTGCATTTTCATTAATTGTTTGAACTTACTTCTATGCATCACTGCACATCTTGGTATTCTCTGTTTGGAATTTTTGTTCAGTATCTATATTCTTCATTCAAATTTCTGTTTTGAGCATTTATTTCATTCATTAGAAAGAAAGGAAAAAAGAAAAAAAGAGAGAGAGAAAAGAAAGAGGGAAAAAGTTAACATAATAAAAATTTTAAGTCAAGCATCACCAATTCTGAAAGTTATCAGAAAATAAGGAGGAAAGGGGGGAGGAAAAAATAAGTGATGCAGTAAAATTTATTACATATAAAGCATGACAAATATAGTATTATCATATATACCTCTTTTAACTGATTCTGTAGATAATCAATTTCAAGCATCTTTTCACTCAAAGCACTCTTTATACTTTCCAGTTCCATTTCTAAACTCTGAAGACGTGCTTTATCAGCAGCTTCAGCAGCAGACAGATTGGCTAGCTAAAGTATGAGTAACTTCATCAGTTGTAGTTCAAAAACTACATTAATCATATAATTTAAAAAGTATTTTTAATAGTAAAACACAACAATACTTCATGATTGTTAGTGCAACTACAAAAACTTTTTGGGAAAAAAAAAAAAAAAAAATATTCATATTTTTACCATATAAAACTTATTTTGGATGTTTTTATAACTAGAATACATTTAACTACTTTCTCATAATATGATAAATAATGCACAGATTTCCTTTACTATTAGTTCAATTTAATTTCACTTGTAATTCAACTGTCCACATAGAAGCTAATAATAATGATCTAGAGTAATATTCATAGCTATTTTTTATGAAATTAGACCATTACCTTAAAGGTATATTCATACTATGCCATAAAAGCTATACAAGTGCTGAAAATATGATGCTGCTTAATACGTGTTTTAAGAAGAACATACTCAAAAAAATTAACAGCATTTTCAAAAAAGATTCTTGAATCAAGGACACAACTGATAACTTTTGAATCAGCAATAATTGTGAATAAAAAGTAGCTTTTTTTTTTGTACATATTAATAAGAGACCAATGCAGTTTTTTTATTAAGTTATGCATTAGTTCACTTTAAAATAATTATTTGTTTAATATTTTAGTGACGTGCAATGGTATTTTGAAAATGCTTGGGGTTTTAAAATAGGCCTAGATCTTATCAATAGCCAATAAAACTCAACAATTCTCGTCAATTCATACAATTTTTTTTTTTTTTTTCATTTTCGTTTTAGAAAACTAGATTTTAAAAATAATTATGTTACAATAATAATGTTTTGTTCTGGTTTAAATTGCATATTATTTCTGTATTTATTTAAATTCCACCCACCTAATTTCATCAATAAATCAGTCCAAACAACGCATACATGTTTGTGCTTAGACTGCAGTTGGCACAGTTAAACTTTAAAAACTTCATGCAGATTTTCATACACAAGAGATGTGGACAGACCCAATCTTTTTTGTGTAATGTGTAGTGAAGGCTTATCAAATGGAAATATGAAAGTTTCATTATTGTTTTTCATTATTTGAAACCAAGTTACCTCCAATAGCACACAAAAGTCAAGCCACTATGTAAAAGCCTTAGAATAAAATTGCAAGCATTATCAACTAACACAGATAATAATTATGTGAATGGAAAGTCCTAAAAAATACATTTCTGTGCAGATAAAAGTTGTAAAAAACAATCAAATGTTGAAATATGCTGCTCAATACATGTTTAAAGAAGAACATATGTGAAATATTAACAGCCTTTTCAAACAGTACAGGTTCTTGGAGAATCAAGAACATGACTGATAGTTTTTGAATCAACAATAACACACTGCTTCTGTATCTTACACTGTTTTGAGCAAACACCATAAAAAAATATGCATCATGCAACAATAATATAGCTTTATTCAATATGTACATTTTAGAAATATACAGCAATCCTTAATATGTATAATTTTGATTTCTTACATTAAAGAAAAACTGAGATAAATTATGAAAATTAGCATAATTTATTGTTACTCATATGGTGGAATCAAATTATTCACTAATTATATTCAACCAATAAAAATACATTTCCATATTTTTATTGCTTGCACATTTTTTATTGTAATTTTTCCCCCCACCTTAGAACATTTGAGTAGCCTCTGGGATGCTTTACCCTTTGCAGCACAATGTGCCATGTCTAGGCACACCTGAAAATTGAATGAAAAAGGATTTATAGGTTAGTATAGGTTACTTTGAACATTCTTTATTTGGCACAACACAGGTGATTTAGATGGCACAACACAACACAAACCAGTCCATATATTTTAGCCATGTTTAGTTTTTAAAGACATACATTTTTCAAAGAAATCTTCCAAATTTTTTTAGTATATAAAAGGAATTGTTTGAAAAGACATTTCCATGTTATTTTTTTTGGCTATATGCTAAATTCCTTATTCTATATCAGTTTTAAATTTTTACCTTGAAATCTTGCCTAAAATCAAATGGTACATCAGGCGTGCCCAGAGTGGAATCACTGAGACACTAGGACCAGACCAACACCTGTATTTTTGTTTCACTGCAGCTCTTCAGTGGGCTCATTCACAATAGAAAGGCGGGTCCACATCTGTGTTTCATTTCCCGTTTTTCTTTTCTTTTCTTTTCTTTTTTTTTTTTTTTTTTTTTCTGTTAGTTTTGGTTATCAACTAAGAAATTGTTGGGGTGATTTTCTGAAGGTCAGGGGTAATTTGATCAGTTAGCTGTTTGGTTTTTCACTACAGCTGTGCTCTTTTCCTTTTTTGCTTTCATTCAAAGAAGTTTTGTTAGCTCTACGTTTTGATAGTTTTGAGTTGTAGACGTTTATTTAATTTTATTTTATGGTTTAATTTTCATAATTGTAGATATAATATTAGTTCATTTTCCCCCTGATTTTTAATTATTTTGCAAATGGATCGGAGAGGGCTGACCATTTCTGAAGCACGGAAAGTATTACACAAAGTGCCTTCAGATAGTGAATCTGAAACGGATCCCAGTATATGTGCAAAACATGCAATGTTGTGTTGTGCTTTATTAAAGGTGGTGTCCTTTTTTCGAAAAGTACCACCATAAAAAAAATAGACGGAAGTGTAAATATGAAATGTAAATATTATATACCCAAGTTATTTTTTTCACTTATAAGCATGTAATCATCATATTACTAAGAATATCAGTTTTTTGGAGGGTAGAGTAGTAGGCCTCCACGTGGCAAACCCTAGGTAATGCTAAATCTGCTACGGTATTCAGAATCTAGTGTTTTTTAATCGTAGGCAAAATCTTTTACTCTATAGCACGATTCCCAGCAATGCTCGCTTCAGCACTCTTTTTGAAGCTCTATTCATTCAGTGAGCCCGCTCTGGGGACACGCTCAAAATTAAAATAGTAAGTGCTATCTTTACAAAATTTTACCTGTGTACACCTCTAGGTCTGATCAGACTGCCTACAATTTTCTTTGTCAGAATTCCTACTTTAAAAGGTAGCATACTGGAAAGGGTTAAAGATATGGTTGAAGGAAGTCAATCCATTTGCAACACGGAAATGAGTATTTTGCCTGTTTTATGGGTTCCATAATAAATATAGAACCTAACAGAATACATGCTTTTTGGCACACACTTCAGTCATTAAAATGGATGATCAATATCACCACTGCAGTTGCTTGTCTAGCGGCTGATAGAAACCTTATTTAAAAAAAATGAAAATAATTTTTCCTTTTTCTTACTGCATATCAATAAATATATTTATATTTATATTGCTTGGTGTGTGTGTGTGTACAATGATTCAATGGTGTAAATGATGTTTTTCAAACTGCGCACATAGACTGACAGAGCCCTGTAGTTGGAAATGATGGACTGGCAGACAGATTTGGCTGAATGCAACATAATTTTATTATTGAATAAAGCATTTTTGTAGGCACAACATTTGCTTCACACAGACTCATGGATGCACTATACACCCACAATTTTAAAACTTAGCCCATCTTCAAACAATGGATGATACAGGAATCCGAGCAGCATAAGGAAGCTTAAGTAGGAAAGACAGGTAGAGAGAGAGAGCGAAGTTGGATTGCAGCGGTATTTATAGTAAAACTTTTCTTTAATCAGATTGGCTAAGAACTAACTATACGCAATACAGAAGGTTAAGATGACATAATGTGGAATTAGTTTTCAGGAATAAGACAGTTTAAAAAAAAAAAATTACTATTTTTAGAACAGAGAGGTGGAAGAGCCCAAATTAAAAAGATATATACAGTCAAAAGTCGTTAATCCGGACTCGTCGGGACTTCGGCAATTCCGGATTATTGATTTTTCCGGATTATAGATCATCAGTTTAAATCTTGTAAGATGGCATGCAGAAATTCTAAAATTAAAAATATGAAACCGTAATTTATGAAATAAAGAACAATTATGATCTAAAGGGTATCAAAATTTGCAAAAAGAAAAAAAGAAAAAGCTTAATATTTATTTGTTTACTTTATTAAACATTTCTTTCAATGTAAGTTAAGTTTTGCTTCGTTTCATGTGATAATACTTTCTCTTTAATTCTATTAAACAGACATAATTTCTTGTTCAGTTACAAAGTTCCGCTGTTCAAGTCCTATAATTGCTGTGTCGAGAGAACACCGACTAATTTGTCAATTGAAATTTTTTCATTTTCAATAACCTCTGTCACTTTCTTCGCTATCAGAAGCGAATTATAATGACGAGGAACTTGTTTTAAATCATATCAAAGACGGAGCGTATCGAGATAAAATACTACATTTGGTAAGGAATTATAAGCCAAATAAAATAAAAACATCTGTGCTGAAGATAAGGATAGTGCTGACAAATCAACTTCCAATTCATTACGCGCCCGCCGCGGCGTTCCCCCCGCCGAGCAGCGTGAAATTGATAAACAGATTTCGGATTTCAAAACATACTTTCGCTTTAGATCCTTTACAAATTAACAAATATATATCGGATATTCTATTTGATATAATCGAAAGTTCAAGCTTACTTTTATAAAATTGCTCTTACAGTCTGCAAAAAATAATAAGCCGGACCCAATTCGAAAATTAAGGAACAACGCAATCATCAACATTAACTGAAACAGATAATTAGATAATTTTAGCTTATACGTCCATTATACATAAAACGCGCACGCGAAAACGTATTCTGCACTTGCGCACACTCATATGCACAGTCGTCTTATGCGCACGCGTAAACGCCTATGCGCATGTCTCAACGCGGCGCATGCGCAGAAAGTTTTTAGTTTTGAGGTCCGGATTATAGATCATTCCGAATTATGGGTGTCCGAATTAATGACTTTTGACTGTATATATATATATATATAATATATATAAGCTATAGATTTTAATAATAAGAAGACAAAGCTAAAATTAAAAATAATTTCAGTAATTTTCTAACAGAAATAATAATAATAATAATAAAAAGACAGTGGCTTAAATTATTTTAACTACAGCAAAATATATTAAGACTATCTAAATAAGAGGAAGGATGTCTCTACTGAAAATTTTCAAAGCTGTACTTAGACTACATAAATGGGGGGATGAAAACTTCACATCCATGCTATTGTTATAAACAGAATTCACAGCAAATTCACCATTTCCGTTAATGTTTCTTAACCATTCCAAAATCTGTTTATCAATTTCACGCTGCTCTGCGGGGGGGGGGGGGGGGGGGGACATCGCGGCGCACAATGAACTGGAAGTTGATCTGTCAGCACTATCCTTATCTTCAGGGCAGATGTTTTGATTTTATTCGGCTTATAATTCCTTACTAAAGGTAGTATTTCATCTCGATGTACTCTGTCTTTGATATGATTTAAATCAAATTCCTCATCGTTATGAATATCACGAATACACATCAAATAGTTTTCTGGTTGCAATTTTCTAATTTTGACTATATGTAATGTATGTTTTACGCATGCGCACGTTAAAAGAAATATTTAATAAAATAAACAGATAAATATTAAGCTTTTTTTTTTTTTTTTTTTTTTTTTTTTGTAAATTTTGATACCCTTTAGATCATAATTGCTATTTATTTCATGAATTACGGTTTCATATTTTTAATTTGATAATTTCTGCATGCCATCTTACCAGATTTAAATTGATGATCTATAATCCGGAATCGCCGAAGTCCCAACAAGCCCAGATTAAAGACTTTTGACTGTATATATATTGTTCTTTTATATGTATATATATATATAAAAGAACAAAAGTATCTAAGAGCTGTAAAATACATATTTAATCATAAACAGCCAAGGGAAAAATTTAATAAAGCAAAGTTTACACCAAGCAATGCAATTTACAACTTCTCTGCGTAACAAATTATTAAGATACTACTTTTGATACAAATAAATCTTACTTGAAGGTTAAGCTCTTTTTGCAAATCATCTTTCTGAGATTGAAGTTCCTTTAACTGTTCTTGGGTACCTCCTAATTCTTTTTCAAGATCAGTACACTTTTCATTTGATGCTTGTAATTCTGAAGTTGCCTGGATAAATTGTATAAATAAAATGAAAAAAATATATATATATAATATGAAATAAAATGAATAAAATCAAACAAAATTAAAATGTGTGTGTGTATACATATATATATGAAATGTAATTTCTCATACATTATTTGTTTTGTGCAGCCGGGGCAACAGGAATGAGACAAATTTTGGAATATAAAGTGGTAGGTTTATTTTAGCATCCATCTCACAAGCGTTCTTTTCGTACCTTGAACAGAAGCCCTATTTATACATATGTGTGCATCACGAGGCTCATCCAATCAGCGATATTAATTGAAATCACGAGGTGACGCTATCTTCTCATCAGGAGTGTTCTTAAGGACTTTATGTAATATGACAGATTTATGAGTTTGGCGATTTGGCGGGTGCCAACAAATTAATATATTTTATACTAAAGAAAGGATTTCGCCAAAATTTAGGAACAGGGATGCAATTTAGGTAGAGAATCGCCAACACATTATTAAGCAATATTATTAGAATTTAATTTAATCAATTGATTTAAAAATATCATTACAGATTATCCCCCCCCCCATCTGAAAAGGCTTGCAGTCGCGGCCGTCGACCCAAGACAGTCCAGATAGTGAGAGCAGAAACTTTAGTTATTAGGAAATTAAGTGAGTAGGAAAATTGATTGGATTTACCTCAAGGCACACAAAATGTTTACATAAAATATTTGAATATAATTAATACAGTATATAAAATATAATAAATGATTAATGAAATTATAATATAGTAACTAAGTGCAGAACAAATAAATCACTAATAACATATTGCTGGTTAGCTACGCGGCAATAGGAAATAGTAATATAACTGAATTTGTAAGTTATATCTTAGGGCATGCCATTCACAGTTTGTGTATGAGTCCGTACAAATCATTAGAGTTGTCATTCAGGCTCATCTTCAGTCTTTTACTGGTCTTTGGAGATCCTCCGAATCATTTAATTAGCGCTAGAATAATGGATTGATTAGCATTTGGCACTGGAAACATTTGAGTTTTTATGTCACGATACTAGAGCTCTTATACTCTTGTTGAAAATACACATTTTACTAGGTTTTTAACATATTTTGTCACTCGCTATTTTTCTCTTATTAATGATAACAAAACAAAATTTAACTTCCAACATCCATACCAGTTTTTTGTACACAATGCTGCAGAAACATAAAATGAAACTTCAGAAGTTTCAACGAATGAAATTTAACTTTTTCAACTGTTGCTACAATTTATAACACAAACATAGGAAAACATGAGCTCAAGGAAATGTGAGGGTATAGTACTCTACTTGTAGTATAGCCTCAATTGAGTGTTTCCCACATGGAAAGTGCACTTCAACCTGAAACTCAAGTTTGAAGGAGCCCAGTAAAAGAAAAAGGGCAGACAAACTTTTCAGACACTGAGAGATAAATCAACTATTAAGGGAGACAACAGGATGAAAACTAAAAGAAGGGTTATGGATAGTTTATTGATTTATAAATTTTGATTTATTCATGATGTAATTTAAAGTTCTCGGGTGGATAATAGAACCTTAATTTTGATGCATGTACAATCTCAGTTGGTTTCTTCACGTGAAAATTTTCCTTGTCGATTTCATAATTAACTTCAGATAATTTATTCATAATCTGATAAGGGCCTGAATAGGGTGAAGTCAATTTTATAGTATTTGGGTATTCGAATTCCTCGTAAAGGACAAAATCTCCAGGTTGAAATTTAGATTCTACAAATCTGATGTCATATCTAGTTTTATTCTTTCGTTAGTATTCGATAGTTCTTTTCTTTGCTAAAGCCCTTGCTTCATTTAAGGAAGGGTATTTATTTTGATCAATTGGAGATTCAAAAGAGGAGGTTACCAAATAGTAAGTATGCTGGGGTGAACTTAGTTACCGTATGAGGGGAGTTGTTATATTCGATAACAAACTTGCTCTAGCACTTTAGTCCATGGTACTTTTTAGAAGAAGAATTTACTTTATATTTTAGTCGACTTACTATTGATTGATTTACTCTTTCTACTTTACCATTTGTCTGGGGATGGTGAGATGAAGTTAAAAGTTGTTTAACATTATGCTTTTTAAGAAATTTTTGAATCTAGAGGAAGTGAAGGCTGCATTCCTGTCACTCAGAATTTTTTCGGGGGGACTTGTATTTGAAATATTTGTTTTAGACAATTGGCATAGGTTTCTGAAGTTACACTTTTAGAGGGAAAAGCCCAGACATATCTTGTTGCATGGTCAATAACTATATGTAAAATATTTTTTGTTAGAATTATAATAATTAAATCCTCCCACAGTGTCAATAGAGAGACATTCGAAAGGTTTGTCGGTTGGGGGTACGTCTTGCATAAGACCAAATTTTTCTGTTTTTTCTTTTATTAAGTTGACAAGTATGACAATGTTTAACAAAATTTCCGAATATCTTCGCTAATATGAGGCCAATAATATTGAGGGGTGATTAAGTTAAGCATAATTTGAACTCCCGGGTGACCAAAATTTTCATGGGTTTTTATTCAACAATTTTAATCTTAAAGATTTAGGTACTACAATTTTATAAAAATTCTTTTTCTTAATTACCATCATATCATTTATCTCTTGGTAATTTTTTTCCACAGACATTATCAGTTTTTTGTTGTTGGATTATTTCATTTCTATCACGTAAATGTACATATGTTGGAGGTGCTGTGAAACAGGATGTCTAGAAAGCATGTCAGCTTCAATATTGGTAGAGCCCTTCTGATATTTTACTTCATAATTGAACATACTTAGTTTGAGTGACCAACAAAAGAATCTACCTTTTAAATTTTTAACATTTTTGAGCCAAACGAGGGCCGCATGGTCCGTATATATAACAAATTTTTGTCCATGCAGATAGTAATAGAATTTGTCTAGGGCATCTATTATGGCCAAACATTCTCAGTAATCATATAATTTTTCTCATAATTTCTTAAAGTTCGGGAATGATATGATACAGGGTGAAGGACATCATTTTCATCTGGTTGTTTCAAAACAGCTCCAACAGTTGAGAAGTGTCAACAAAAATATGACATGGCCTACTGGAATCATACAATTGTAAAACAGGTTTGGAAATCAGTATTCTTTTCAATTTCGTCGAAAGCTTTTTGACATTGGTCATCCCATTCCCACTTGACATCTTTTTCCAACAGTCTATTTAATGGAGCTCTAATAGTTGCATAATTCGGATTGAATCTATAATAGACATTCACACTTCCCAAAACTCTTGGTAACTCTTTGGTGTTATTGGGGTTTTTAAGTTTCTTAATAACTTCTATACTATGGTTATCGGGAATTATTCTACCATTTTTTATTTCATAGCCAAGAAATGTGATCTGATCTCTGGCGAACACACATTTGTTTCGATTCAATTTAATATGCTCCTCTTTAAACACTTCAAATAAAATTTTTAAATGTTCTAAATGTTCCTTCTCAGAGGAAGAGTAAACGATTATATCATCAAAGTAACTGCAAGCGAAATTAATTTTATTTTTTGTTAATATTCGTCTAATTGTTCTATTAAAAATTGCAGGAGCATTTTTGAAACCAGAAGGGAGTCTTAACCATTCGAATAATCCAAAATTCGTACAAAAAGCTAAGTTCTCAGTGTCTGCAGGGTGAATCGGGATATGCCAGAAACCAGACCTCAAATCAATTGTAGAAAATACTTTTGCTTTACTTAATTTGTCTAACAAAGTGTAAATGCGAGGAAGAGGGTTTGCATCTGTTTTAGCCAGGGAATTCAATTTTTGATAATCTATACACAATCTAGTTTTCTTACCTTCCTCACGTTTAAGTACTAAAGTCACGGGGGACGAATATGGGCTACAACTTTCTTTAATTATACCTACTTGTAATAATTGATCAATTTGGGTCTTAATTTCCTCTTTTTCCATAGAGGATGTTCTATAAGGTCTTAATGATACAGGCAAATCAGAATTTAAATTAATTCGTTGAGGTTCAATATTAATTTTTCCTACATCATACTTATTTTTAGAAAACACAGATGAATAATCATTTAACAATTTTTCCAAGTTATACTCTTTGTTATCGACAGTATTAGAAACAGCATTTTTCACATAAATGTTAGACTGAGAAACTAATTCCTTTGGATTTGTAGTCCGAGATTTACAGGTTGGAAAATTTCTTACATCATCATCATTATTAACACATGGATAAACATTTGTTGTACCACCTTGAAGTTGGAGGTGTAGAGATATGGGTCGGCTGTCAAAATGGCAGTCATCATTAAGTACAATAGCTCTCTGTTTAATTTTTAAATTAGTACAATCAATACTCAACTCAAATAATTTGCATTCATAAAGTCCTAAAATTACATAATTCAAATTATTATCAAGAACAAACAAGGTAATTTGGTTACTAATCTGTCCAATTTTCATTTGTATACAACATATTTTGTTGAAGATTATTTTTCCCTTTAGTTTGGGTTACTGAAAATGATCTAACTCTTTGTACTTTTAAACGTAATTGTCTAGCTGTTTTGGAAGAAATTATTGATATGGTGGCACCACTGTCTACAACACACTCTAGACGTTTCTTATTGGACAAATATCCTGACACCTTTAATAGTCAAATACTGTGAGGGGTTTTCTGGGGTTGGTTCTATTGCAAGGGGTGCGTAACATTAGGTGTAGCATTAAGTGTATCAGATCTCTCCCCTCTGAAAGGACAAACCTGAAACCAGTGAAAAGCATTTGGGATTCCGTTCCGGGTGCAAAGTCTACAGGGACTGGGTGGCAATGGCAATCTATTTTGAGAATTATAATTATGATGGCTTGTAAATCTTGGACCACTGAACCGATTATAAAAATTACTTGGGTCTCTGAAAACGTTGGAAATTGTTGGGTCTAGGAGAATCTTGTCTCACAGTAGTTTCATAGCTTGAAGCTGAAATTCTACTTCTATTAAATCGATTGTAATCTTGGGGACTGTTCCCAATCGGAGTAACAAATCTGGGA